TAGCCAAAGAAAGCAAGCCAGCTTCCCTTGCCATCGGCCAAAATTGCTCACCACATCGGCGTCCGCCTGCGCATGCGACTATTTGATGTGCTAATCCATCGAAAATACACTTCACATGGCAAGATTTGAATATAGAAGACTAAAAATAGCTAGGTTGTTGTATACTCCTTTTTTTTGACAAGTTTTCTATTTTACATAATGGCTAAATATTGAATTTGACTGTTAAATTTTGGCCAACCTCTTGAAGATGCTCTTAAAGACCGGAATAACACATTTTTTAAATTTAAAGACTGGGATGACACACCCTCACAAGTTCGAGAACGGACCATGGACTTTACTCTTCTATATACTACGGGGAGGACAGCCTGGCCAAGCGCCCAAACCCGCCTGCACTTGTCTCAGCATATGCAACAGAAGAGAAAACAAGAGGCAGAAGCGGAGGTTTTGGTTCGTGCAAAATCGTATTGTTGCTACAATATTATAGAGGAAAGGCATAATTGCTCCCTTTGTTTCAAACGCTCTATTCTACTTTCTTTCATCCATTTCGATTTCCTTCACTTTTCCGGTAGAAATCCTTTGTTCCAAACGGTAGATATTTTTCCACGATATGTTTTGACGGTCAGATATTTCTTCGGACCCAATCCAATCGAGCCTGCCATTGGCCTTAAATTTTGGCCAGTCCATCCCACTGAAATATCACGTTGGATTATGGTCAAATATATTAGGGTTTAAAATGATATATATCCCGAACCTCATTCAGTAGACCCATGTTTAGTTGATTACAAATGATAATCTAATCTGCATGTACTGAACCCGACGGATGAAGGTGTCCGATTTCGTCTATGTGCGCTTGAAATAATAAAAGTTATATTTATTCTAGCTAACACAGGAAGTGAGCCTGATACAACTAATTGGGGTGTGATCATATATCTCAAACTTTCACATTCAAGTTCTCTTTTAATTAAATTTTGGTGCATAATTTCTTCTTGTATATTAACTTAAGAGATGTAAGTATCGATGCGTGTATGTGCAGATGCAAAATTCCATCCAAAGTGTGGTGGCTGTATGTACGGAATCTTACCCATCAATCAATATGACAAACAAGGTACGTAAATTTGCTAACTCTACCTACATGGATACACCCAACATGATCCGTTGCTATATATACCAATTACCATGACCCTTAAAATAGAGTCCTCAAACTCATCCCAATAGAGAATGACACCTGCTTGTAATTGACTTTCTTGGCCAAAACACTAGGAGTCAGGAGAGGAAGTGCACCGACCACCGGAGACAAGGACGAAGCGGAGAGTCAGAGGGAAGCTGCTCGTGGTGGGGAGTTGTGGTCGCCGGGGGAGTCGCGATAGTGCCGGGGGGAGGGGGGAGTCGTGGTCGTGCCTGGAGGAGTCACGGTCGCGCCGGAGGGAGTCGCGCACAGGCTTGGGAAAAATGGTAGCGTGCTAGTGAGGAAGGGGCGAATGGAATAAGGCATGCATAGAAACGGACGGAAACCGTCATTTACGTGGTTAGCCTACAACCCCATGAATGAGGGTCAAGGAAGGATTCGGGTGGCCACCCAAATTTAAGAGCTCTAGTAGGGGCAGTATTGTGGAATTGTGTTTTTGGCATAGGCATCCATATTCAGCTATGGAGGTTAAGTAGAAACACTGTTCGAATTGCCATACTCACTCTACCGTATAATTTCTTTTTCTTCGAACCTGCCATCTAGAGACTGTTTAGTGTGGCTCCTGCACCGGTTCCGTGTGCGGCTGTGAACGGAGCCACACCCAACAATATCGTGAGAAGGAGTGCTTACCCTCCCGTAGTCCCGTTCACTAAGGTGGAGCCATTTTGGTGCACAGAGCCAGAATGCCAAAAACTGCTTCCGTGGCTTCGGCTCCTGCAACAGAGCACTTGGAGGGGAGGTGCAGCGAAAACGTCCTTATGTTAGTGCAAGAATGGTATTCCTTTACCAACCTATAATTGCCCTGGGTGTATAACTTATAAACTGTTTATGATCAAAATAAGATGAGACTAAAAGTTAAACGATATGTTTTTAATAGATATTTTCTTACCACACTTCTCTCAGTATCACCCATTTATACTAAAACGCAGAAGCTATGTCAAACTAGCTTATTTTAACCATATTTTTGCTTTATTTTTTGGTATAACTTTATTAGGAAGCGTTTTTTCCGTCGCTCTACCAATCATATCAGGACCAATGTCGTGCATTTATGGTAATGGACCTAAAAGTAACCTAAAATAAAACAATTCTACTCCATCCGTTTCAAATTATAAGTCACTTTGACTTTTTTTTGATACATTCATTTTGCTATGCATTTAGATATAATAATATGTCTAGATATATAGCAAAATAGATGAACAAAAAAAGTCAAAACGACTTATAATTTGGAACTGAGAGAGTATCATATACTACTACCCAATTTCCAAGGGTTGGATTTGGTTCTCAAGCCTATGATTTTATATATCTAGACACGGAAACCAAGAGTAAAAAAGTAGAGAGAATTATCTATTTGGCACTGAAACAAATCAGTCTTTCATATTTAGCACTCAAAATTTTGAACTTTCTTATCTAGCACTAAGTTGAAATTTTCTTCCGTAAATGGCACTTCCATCTATTTTCACCGATAACGATGTTAAATGGCTTACAAAATGACATAAGTGCCCTTGTTTATAGTAGAAGTCCATGGTGTCAAATAGAAAAAGAATAAATGAAAAGTTTGTCAAATAAGAAAATCATAAATATTACAAAGTCGTTGCGCTACGTGTCCAACACACCGGGGAGCCACAGACGCAGGGCGCCGCGTGCGCGCGCGCGTGCCGGTCGATGCTGGCGAGAAGTAGGCGGGCGCGTGCGCTCCAGTCCAGCTGCCCCCTGCTGCGGCCCTGCCCAGGCGCGCGCGAGGTGTATGCATACGGGGCTCGTGGATCGCTTTTTGGAACGGAGGCGCCGCATACGTAGAGGCGCCAGGCACCAGACATCATTAGCCTGGACCGGGAGAATTGTAGAAAATGGGGTTCAAAAGCGGCACACGAATCGGCCGTGTTGGACTCGGTCGCCTGGGACCGGGACTCCTGCGTCATGGGATGCATCAAAGGCTCGCTATCATTACCCGAACAGCACCGACCCAAGACCGAAATTTTCTTCGGCCGGTGCAGTCTGTTGCGCAAGATCGTGGCTACGGACAAATTCGACGCCGGCTGTTCTTGATCGTTTCGTAAACTGGAATTGAGAAGAGTGTTGTGTTGTGTGTTTCGGGTGTTCGTACTCAAGAGTTCGTTAGGTTGTGGAGGACCCACGACTGCATGCAGGAGCTTGTGGAGGAGCTCGGCATATACATGCTCTTCTTCGACAGAGCCGGGTACGGTGACAGCGACGCCAACCCGAAGCGCAGTCTCAAGAGCGACGCCACGGACGTCGAGGAGCTCGCCGACGGGCTGCAGCTCGGGGACATGTTCTACGTGGTAGGGTGCTCCATGGGCGGCTACCCAGCGTGGAGGATAGCAGCTATAGCAGCTTGCACACCACCATCTCCGTTCAGGTGAATAGGTGATCGATCAACTTGTATGCTCTGATTGTGTGGCTCGGTCGTTGCAGGCTGGCCGGAGTGGCTCTGGCCGCGCCGGCGGTGAACTACTGGTGGCCGCTGCCTGCCAACGTGTCGAGGACCGCGTACGGGAAGCTCCACGTCCGGGACCGTAGGACCTTCTGGATCACGCACCACGCGCCGTCGCTGCTCCACGCCTGGCTCGCGCAGAAGTCCTTGAGCGCCTCCAGCATGTGGGCCGAGAACTGCAGCATGCGCTCGCGCAGTCGCGCAGCGGCGGCGGGGGCAGCCTCTCGATGCGCCCGTGAGGTCGGGGAACGGGAGCACGACTGGCGGCGTCTGCGTCGTCAGGCCATCGGGGGACCAGCGCTCCAGCAAGGCTCCTGCATGCAGTCGTGGGTCCTCCACATGCATGCAGTCGTGGCTCCACATGCTCCAGCAAGGCTCCTGCATGCAGTCGGGTGACCTCGTATTTTAGTTTACAAGTATATTGGTAATATTTATGATTTTTTTATTTGACAAACTTTTTATTTATTCTTTTCTTATTTGGCACTATGGACTTCTACTACAAACAAGGACACTTATGTTATTTTGCAAGCTACTTAACATCATTACCAGTGAAAATAGACGGAATTGCCATTTATGGAAGGAAATTTCAACTTGATGCTAGATAAGAAAATTTAAAATTTTAAGTGCCAAATATGAAAGACTGATTTGTTTCGGTGTCAAATAGATAATTCTCTAAAAAAAAGTATGGTCCGTAGAAAATAAAAAGGATAGATATAGAGATAATAAAAAGGAGAGATATATTAAGAAAAGAGAAAGGTATATCAAGAAAAAGAAATAAATGTTGGAATAAGAAAAAAAGTATTTTAGATAAAATTTGAATCTATAGTCATCAATTTTAGAAGGGAGGGAGTATTTCAAAGATCTCCTCTCTCTCTTCTCATTAGTTGGCTGGCAAGCGAGTGAAAAATATACATGACACCAAATTTTTTTTGAGCAAATATACATGACACAATTAGGCAATATGTTACAGAGGAAAATGAAAAAGGTTCATCACGCCCCGCTGACCCCTCGGCCTCGGCCGCTCCGGCGCGACTTTTGCATCTAATGACACCACAGAAAAATTAACCAGCCCCTGCGCGCCATCCGAAGCCGCAAAAACGCAAACGGCCCTGTTAATTTCCCTCGCCGTCTTCTCTCCTCGCGCTTTTCCCCCCTTAATTAACCCCCTCGCCCTCTCCATTCGCCAACCCCACCCCGAACTGCCCACCCCCACCGCCGCCTCGCCGGAACCCTACCTCGGGCGTACGCCTCGAGACGATCCCCGGCGGGACGATCGGGACCCGGTGCATCTCCGCACCAGGTGGTCACGTAGTCACGGTACCTTTGCACGCGCCGCCGCTCCCTCCGCCGGAGGAGACCATCATGTCGGAAGGCGCCCGGCCGGCGGCCGCGCGGAAGATCGTGAAGTCGCTACAGCGGTGCGCGCGGCTCTCTCTGGAGCGTCCGCCCTTCGGCGCTGCTCTCGGCGACTATCACCAGTTCCCCCGGCCATCGACGTCACCTGCCGCTGCAGCGGCAACGGCAGCGACCCCCGGCGGTCGCGGAGAGGTTTTTGATGAGGGGATCGTCGTCAGGATGCCGGTGAGTTGGCGCTTAGTCTACAGTGTACGGATTTGCCTGCTGTTTTTTCGGGGCTTGGTGCGGAATTTTCGGGTTTTTGCCAGAGGATTGATCTTCATGTAGCGGAAATGCGGTGCTCTTCCAAATTACTTATCGGGTAGGATTATCATGTGGATAAGTGCATTTCGGTCCAATCGTGGGCTGCTTGTAGCCCAATAATTGTTGAGAAGCTGAAAAATGAAAATACAGCGACTGTGAAGGTTTCACGCATGGGAAAGCACTTGGCCTATCGGCCGTCTGGTATCCAAATGTCAATGAGAAAATGTGGTTTCCTGGTCTGCTGTGGGTTTTGAGGATTGGGGTTTTGGTTTTCACGGCCAATGCTACATGTTATGTTCCTAAATCCTACATGGTTGATTGCAAGTTGCTTCAGAGCTGCTTCGAGAGCAGGATTGGGTGCATGTCGGGCCAGTTTAGATTACTGCATTTCGTGCTAATTTTAGACATGTGCTCACTGTTGTTTCGCTTAGTTGCAAGCATGATGCAGGAAGAAAGGTCTCAATTCAGCCGCTTCTATTTTGTTATCCTGTTTATCCACTTATTTTGTTGCTACAAGCTGCCATGCCTTGTGCTGGATTCTACAAACTAAAGTTTCAGCTTGTCATCTCGAATACTGGGTTATGTTCATGTGCATCTTAGACGTAGAGACTTGAATATACGGTTTATTCCCTTATCTAAAAACATCCTGGATGCTGGTTTGTAGTGTCACTAGTTTTATTTGATGCAACAGAGCAGATCACCTTGGAGCATTATGCGTGTTTCTAATTAAAGGTTTTAGTACCAAATTGATGTGGGAACATGCAGCTCTTGGATAGTTAGCAGAACTTTTATGTTGAAACTCCACAAATATAGTCGTGTTAGCATTTATACATATTCTGAAATTTCTGAGAAGGATCTGTACCTTAGGATCACCGGGTAGCCACCGTCAGGATACTGTCTGTATAATCTAAGCATCTATTCCTGACGCTGATACAACTTCCACAAAGTTTCTTTGGGATCAGGGACTGTACTGTAATTTTCTTACAGAATACTCTATTGTGATCTTGTATACTGCATTTTTTTTTTCTAATAGATCTTTATGGTTGAGACAAAAGATCTCTGTAGCCTCTAATTAGCATTTGAAACATGTGTCATGGCACTTCTACTTTTATTGAAGTTTTGTTATGGTTTAGCACATGCTCCAGTCTACCACTTGTGGCTATATCAAGTGTAAGTCGCCACTAATCATTTCCTCCTTTTATGTCCAGCTAAAAAGAAAAGCTCCCTATGGAGAATGTGATACAGCTGAGTCAACCGGATTGAGTGTGGCCAGTTCTGGGTTCATTCAAGGAGTCGGCAGTCCACGAATGACCCCAATTTCTGGAAATACTGCTAGGAAATACAAGTCAAAGTCTGAATACACCAAAGCTGGACCTCAGACACCCACATTAAATGCTGGCAAGTATAAATTCGTTGATCTGGTTCTGGTTACATCAGCATAGTTTGTTCTTTCAACTTCCTCTTCTTATGTATTTGTTCTATCTGTCTGATAGTTAAATGCATAGTGCCTTTGTGTTGTAGCAGGTTCACCTGGCAACCCACCTACTCCTGCTGGTTCTTGTCGCTTTGACAGTTCATTAGGTGATTTTTAGCACTCTCATATGATAAATTGACTTTTACAATATTCCATACGCTGCTCATTAGATATTCCATTCTGGTTACATTGTTTCATATCAATTATTTTTACTATTGTCTTGTTTCATATAAATTCTTTTGCTGACACCTATTTATGTGAACATGTGATATTTGTCCAGCACTGTTGACAAAAAAATTTATCAATCTGCTCAAGGAGGCTAAAGATGGAATTTTAGATTTGAACAGCACAGCAGAGACGTTAGGTGTATGGAACTTTTCCTCATTTAAGCTGGCATTTCTCTTTGTTTCTCTTGAGTCTTGATGCAAGCTTCTGCGTGATTACGAAAACTCAGGTTAAAAAGAGGCGCATGTATGACATTACAAATGTCCTTGAAGGAATTGGTCTGATAGAAAAGAAGTTGAAGAACAGAATCTGCTGGAAGTGAGCATTGTCTTCTATGCTTACAAGTTATGGTTATATGGTGCAACATGCTAACCTTATGATTTTACAGGGGTTTGGATAAATTGGGACCTAACTTGGATGATGATCTTTCAGTTCTGAAGGTACTTATTTTTGCTCTTTTTGTTTCATGTAATCATGTCCATATTATCGAACTCAAGGTAAATGTCCCTGTACCTAGACATGATACTCCAAGTCTAAGTTCCACTTGGTGTAATCTCCTTGCAGACAGATTTTGAAAATCTTAATCTACAGGAGCAAGCATTAGATGAACATATAAGGTTGGTAACCGCTGGAGGTTGCAAAACTATTGACTGCAGTTCTCAATGTTGCTATTTCAAATGAGAATGGTGATACAGTCTAAAAGTATTTCTCCTTGCAGTAAAATACGGGAAAAGCTGAAGGGCTTAACTGAAGATGAAAGCAACCAGGGGTAATCATATTAATTTGTGTCAAGATGCTTGCATACCACAGTCACTGTTTTACTTTATAATCATGTCTATTATTCCTATTTAGGTGGCTATTTCTTACTGAAGATGACATCAAGGAGTTGCCCTGCTTTCAGGTTGCTTGCATGTTAAAGAAATTCTGAATTATTGCCTGTTCCAAATTTCATCTTATTTCTGACTATTCCGAGTAAATTTCATCCTATGTTTGACTATTCAGGCTATCCTTAATACCAAACATAACTAAGCATAGTTAACTCTGCTGTGAACTCATATATCCTTTTTCAATCTGCAGAACCAAACACTATTTGCAATAAAAGCACCTCATGGGTCTTCTTTGGAAGTGCCCAATCCTGATGTGGTAACCAGGAAACCAATAACCAGTCCATTACTCCATATACGATGCGTTGCATGTTTAGTTATCTATAACTGTTTCATAACTTTAGCTCATTTATTTCATAAGATGACTGGCGATAGCCTTCAAAGGAGATATAGAATAGTAATACGGAGTACTACGGGTGCAATTGATCTTTACTTGGTTAGGTAATGTTTGAATCTTCTCTTGAAGCTGGCTCCTGGAAAAGTAATTGTCTGACATACATCCTTACTATATTGTTAGTAAAACTGAAGAAAAAATGGAGGGAGAGCTGGATGATGCTGCAGCACCAGCAGGGCACACAAATGTGGCAAAGCATGACTCCATAAAACGCCCCAGAACAAAAAGAGCTTGGCAAATGAGTAGAGAGGAGGAGGTGGTGCTTAAGGCTCAGGAGACCCAGAAAACTCCAGATCTAAATCCCCCATGTCATTCTGAAGGAGTGCTGAGGAAAATTAATCCTTCAGATGTTGACGTAAGTAGATTTGAACTTATGAAGTTTAGCTTTTTTTTATTATACTGTATATAATATCTATACAAGGTGATGGTGATGCATTCCATAATCATATCAGTTAACTAAGAACATCGAGCCTTATGACTTCATAGACGAATTACACAATTCTGAACAGTTCTACATTAGTACATTACATACATGTTCTTAAATTGCATCTTAGTTTCTTTTTATCCCTGTTATTACATTGGGTTTGCCCCTACTTGGTGTATCTTTTCCGCCTGACAATATCAAAGCAAATAGTTGACTTAGCTATTCATGGTCCTACTACACTTTTGCAGAGTGGAGCGGACTACTTGCTGTTTACAGACACTGATGTTAGCATCAGTGATATGTGGAGAACAGAACGTATCCTTTTTTGAATACTAGTCTTCATGAGGTCTTGTTTAAATGCCATCTACAATAAATCCATAGGTACTTGCAGAATTGAAGTATTACTTAACATGGTAAATAGCAGAAATGCAGTTGGATGAGATAGACCCCAATGATTTCTTAGCTGAAGAGGTGAGCTCACCAGAGACACTCGAGCAGTAGCCAGCTGCAGTTGGTGTACGTACAGCTGTGGGCTCTAACCAAGGTATTACTACGCTGGATGTTTTGGAACGAACTGAGCTCATTTTGGATGGCAATGTTCCTTTTGAGACTCCTGGGAGGGGTGGTTTCTACCACGTCACACGTCCTTTCTCCGTGTGGAAGGTGGGATACAGGGGTTGAGATATGCCCGGTGAGATAGGCCTTTTGTTGAGGATTGTTGCTGTCACACATTTGGTGGCTTATACAGCGTATGCGTATCAGTGGCATGGATGCAGAACAATGCGGCAATCAGGTGTATAAACTGAATCGCTGGTTGGGTGCATTTCTCCAACTTTTAGGGGTCAGGATTATGTCCATCTGATTCTGCCTTTGTACGGCGCCACATTTTTTGTGTACATATTCTGCATATGCTGTCTAGATGTGTTGAAAGTACTAAGTAATGTCAAGCATCTTCAGCAAATTCCATGCTGGAAAGTGTAAATCTCATTGTTAAACTCTGAAGCAACTGCATTGTCAGCTTCTAGTTTAAAAACTCCCCACTCGTCATCCATTATTACTGCTAGTTCAAAATCGTTATTGAACAGCTTTTACAAAAGCAGCACCAGATATATTCACTGGCGTCGCCTAGTAGAACACCTATATAGAGCTTATATATAGCTATTTGCATAGACTACATGATTCAGTGAGAACTGTATTTGAGTGGGGGCATCGCATCAGTCGCCGCCCTTCCTGATCTTGCCAATCCAGCTGGCCACCACCGGCGTCAGCGTCACCGTTGAGGTGTGGAAGAGATTGAAGAAAATATAGGAGGGCACACTGACGGTGAAGAGTGTCAAGTTGTACATCCTCAAGAATAAGTTGACAAGCTTCAAGATGAAGGATGATGAGAGCATTCTAGAGATGTTCCATCGATTACAAATGATTGTCAATGATTTGAAGGCATTGGGAGACAAGATCAAGGATGATGATGTCTCTCATCGGTTCTTGACGTGCCTACCTCCTAGATTTGAGATATTGAGATTACTTATCATAAGAGGAGGATTGAAGGAGATTACCCCTAACCAAGTACTAGATGATGTCATGACACAAGAGACATACCGAATGGAAAGAGAAGGGGTTGACAAGGATGACAAGAAGGAAGACGAAGATAAAAAGAAGAGTGTAGCATTCAAGGCTAGCTCATCATCCAAGAACAAGGGCAAGTCCAAGAAAGAACCAAGTGATGATGATGATCTTAGTAATATTGATGATGAAGCTATGGCTCTATTTGTGCGCAAGATGGAAAAATTCATGAAGAAGAAGGGCTATGGTGCAAGAAAGAGAAGAGATCACACCAAAAGCAAAGAATATGTGAGAAGATGCTACAATTGCAAGAGCCCCGATCACGTTGTAGCAAATTGTTCCTACAATAGTGACAATGATGAGGATGAGAAGAAGAAGAAGCTCAAAAAGAATAAGAAAGAAAAGAAGGAGAAGAAGGAGAAGAGAATGACCTTCCAAAAGAAGAAGAAAGGTGGAGGCTATGTGGTCACATGGTATAGTGATGGCTCTTCGGATAGTGATAGCTCTAGTGATGATGACAAGAAATATATCAAGAGAGCACTAGCAAGCATCGCCATCAATGACAGGTGCTCCATCTTCGACACTCCATCGACATGCCTCATGGCAAAGCCTACCAAGGTAAAATATGATGTGAGTGATGATGATGAATGTGAAAGTGATACTTGTAGGAATGATGATAATGATGATGATGAGGATGAGGAGTACACCAAGGAAGAACTCTTGGACATGTGTAAGCAAGTGCATGCTTGTAATGAGATGAAAAGAAAGGAGTGCAAAGAATTACACAAGAAGGTAAAATTTCTTGAGCAATCCTTTGATGAGCTCAATGCCACTCATGAGAGGCTAATGAAAGCCCATGAGAAGATTGGCAAAGCTCACTCTAAGCTTGAAAAGGCTCACTCATCTCTCATTGAGCAAGTCAAAGTGGAGGAAACCAAGAAGGAGCAAGTGATCATATCATGTGATGTGGGACTAACTTGTGATCTTATTGATGATTTTTTTATAAGCCCATTGTAGTTGCTCCCACTAACTCTTCTTATAGCACTATCACTTCCACTTCACTTTGAGTGATGCTCTCTCTTGTGATGTCTCACTAATGGTGGAAAATGAGACCCTCAAGAAGGAGGTGAATGAACTCACTCGTGCCTTAGGCAATGCCTATGGTGGAGATGCCCGCTTGCTAAAGTACTTGGGTAGCCAAAGGTTTTCTCTCAACAAAGAGGGATTAGGCTATACCTCCAAGAAAGGCAAGGCGGCCTTTGTCACTCCCAAAGTTAGCTTTGTGAAGGACAATGGTCGGTTTTGCAATAGATGCAAGCAAGTTGGGCATATAGAGCAATATTGCAAGACTAACAAGAACAAGCTTCCTAATGTATCCTCAATTAAATTTGATTCTTGTTATATGCTTTTTAAGGGTGCCAATGGTGTGAAAGCTAAGTTTATTGGTACACCAATTGTGGGCCCAAAGAAGAAGGCTATTTGGGTACCAAAGACCTTGGTAACTAACCTTCAAGGACCCAATCAAGTTTGGGTACCTAAAAAGAATTGATCTTCTTTTGTAGGTCAATTATAAAGCCGGAGGAAGACATTGGGTGCTTGATAGTGGGTGCACACAACATATGACCGGTGATTCAAGAATGTTCAATTCAATCAATAAAAACAAGAGCAATGGGATTGATAGTATCACATTTGGTGACAATGGCAAAGGCAAGGTCAAAGGTCTTCGTAAGATTGCAATATCTAATGACTTGAGCATTTCCAATGTGCTACTATTAGAGGGCTTGAACTTTAACCTATTGTCGGTAGCTCAATTATGTGATCTTGGTTTCAAGTGCATATTTGGTGTGGATGATGTAGAAATTATAAGTGTAGATGGCTCTAACTTCATATTCAAAGGTTTTAGATATGAGAATCTATACTTGGTTGATTTCAATGCTAGAGAAGCTCAATTGACAACATGTTTGATCACTAAGTCTAGCATAGGTTGGTTATGGCATAGAAGGCTTGGTCATGTTGGAATGAAACAATTGAACAAGTTGATCAAGCATGACTTAGTTAGAGGCTTGAAAGATGTCACATTTGAAAAGAATAAGCTATGTAGTGCATGTCAAGCCAGAAAACAAGTTGGTAACACATATCCTAAGAAGAGCATGATGAGCACATCTAAGGCATTTGAGTTGATGCACATGGACTTGTTTGGACCAACCGCATACACTAGCATTGGTGGAAACAAATACGAATTTGTGATTGTGGATGATTTCACTAGATATACATGGGTGTTCTTTCTTGTAGACAAGAGTGATGTGTTTGCAACATTCAAATCATTTGTCAAGGGCATTCACAATGAGTTTGAAACAACCATCAAGAAAGTTAGAAGTGACAATGGTAGTGAATTCAAGAACACTAAAATTGATGGGTTGTGTGATGAATTTAGAATTAGACATCAATTCTCGGCCAAGTACACTCCACAATCAAATGGTCTAGTTGAAAGAAAGAATAGAACTTTGATTGACATGACAAGATCAATGTTGAGTGAGTACAATATGAGTCATTCATTTTGGGCTGAAGCAATCAACATGGCTTGCTACTATAGCAACCGACTCTATTGTCACCTCATGATGGAGAAGACACCTTATGAACTATTGAATGGAAGAAATCCCAACATAGTATACTTTCGGGTTTTTAGTTGTAAATGCTAAATATTGAAGAAAGACACTAGATTGAGCAAGTTTGAAAAGAAATGTGATGAAGGTTTCTTGTTTGGTTACTCCACTACTAGCAAGGCTTATAGAGTTTAGAATTTGGCTAGTGGTACTCTTGAGGAGGTTCATGATGTGAAATTTGATGAAACAAATGGTTCCCAAGAGGAAGATGAGAATCTAGATGATGTAAGAGGCACTCAATTGGTCAATGCAATGAAGAACATGGACATTGGTGATATAAGGCCTAGAGAGGTGATTGATATTGGAGATGACAAGAAGTGCTCTCTAACTTAAATGTGTAAGCTAGTGGTTCTCATGATCAAGTTCAAGCAAGAACTAGTGATGACAAAGTGCAAGATCAACAAGTGGCTAGTTCATCATCTCAACCAAATGATCAATCAAATGCAAGCAAGCAATCAAGTGCAAGTGCTTCAACCAACCAATGTTGCAATAGATCATCCATTGGACACTATCATTGGTGATATTTCAAGAGGTGTGCAAACTAGATCAAGATTGGCTTCATTTTGTAAGCATTACTCATTTGTGTCATACATTGAACCTAAGAAGATAGATGAAGCTTTGAAGGATGTTGATTGGGTCAATGCTATGCATGAAGAGCTAAACAACTTCACAAGAAACCAAGTATGGGAGTTAGTAGAGAGGCCTAAGGATCATAATGTGATTGAAACCAAGTGGATCTTTCAGAACAAGCAAGATCAAGATGTGATAGTAATAAGGAACAAAGCAAGATTAGTGGCTCAAGGTTACACTCAAGTTGAAAGTCTTGACTTTGGAGAAACATATGCCCCGGTTGCAAGATTAGAAGCAATTAGGATCTTGTTAGCCTATGCTTATGCCCACAATATCAAGTTGTACCAAATAGATGTGAAGAGTGCATTTCTCAATGGGTACATCAATGAGCTTATGTATGTTGAGCAACCTCCTGGTTTTGAAGATGAAAAGAAACTCAACCATGTTTACAAGTTAAGAAAGGCTCTATATGGATTGAAACAAGCACCAAGAGCCTGGTATGAGAGATTGAGAGATTTCCTACTCTCTAAGGG